CGTATTGGACAAATGAGTATATTTCGTTTTTAAATAGTTAGATAGAGAATTCATTACTCTATCGAACTATATATTTGTTATCACTTTATTTTCCATTTTGACTGAAAATTTAGTGAATGTTTTACAAGATTTTTAGATAAATTTTCAATTATATGTCTTTGTCGAGTAGATTTTAGCCCTCTAGTTTATCAGTCTTTTCCATTAGCACACTATTTGATTGAGCAGAAATTTCTCTATCGATTCGTGCAATTTTAGCCTGATTTTATTATAAAATCTTGTAGTTAAATTTAAGATTATATGAACAGCGCCAGAAATGAAATAGTACGAAAGTGCCTAGAATTCGCATAATAAAAAATTATTTTTTGCTCAAATTCAAAACATTTTCATTCAATACTTGCTGCAACTTTAACTATGAAGGATCTCTTTCATTTAAGATTAATTTTGCAACAATAGAATTCAACCTGAGTCAAGCATACGTTTGCAAATTTTTTTTTGTTATGCTAGTTTTAGAACTTTGTGGATTTTGTAACCAAGACATCTGATAAAAAAATGAAAATTATATCATTGCATAAAACAATCAATGCACTATCTAATCATATAGAATAAAAAGTTTTCGACGTTTTGTACAAAATACAATAATCTGAAGAAAACTAGTAAAAATAAGTTAATCACCCTTTACACTACTTAATTTTTTAAGCAAAACATCTTGAAAATCTGAACTTCTCTCTGTTATTAATGCTTGCTATTTTGAATAAACCATATGTATACTCCTATTAATGCATGAGTCACAGGTAATTTCGTTCAACTAAATGTCCCAGAAACCTTGCTAGAGGGGGGCTCAGCCCCCTCTAGCCTCCCTCTGGATACGCCACTAGTCTGAACCCATCACAGACCGTGACAGACAGGACTTTGTACTCATCACAGACCGTGACAGACAGGTTTTCGACCTCTCACAAACCGTGACTGATAGGACTCAGGAGTGATTATAGACTGTGATAGAAGACTTCAAGGAAATATCAGATATGATGCATAACTAACATATAATTGAAGCATATATGGAGTATTATCTTGTTGAGTCTCTGTAATGTAAGGTAAACGATTATGAAGAAATGTACATCAATATGCATAAAAGCAACAGATTTTTGAATATCAGCTATAGCAGCTGCATCGCGTTTCACATTTTTAATCCCGCAAGGGATTGCGCTAACAACTTTTTTCAATAATAATCTTTAAATGATAAAATGCTGATAACAAAACATCTTGAGAATATATATACTGAATATAGCAGTCGATAGATTAGTGTGTAGTGCTGTAAAGACATCTGATTTTTGATAAGATCGAACTTTGACAAATAATAGATTTTTGCGAAAAGAAAGTCGGCTATCTACATGAAAAATAGAAAATATTTTGCATTAAGTTCGTTTATATTAGAAAGAAAAATGTAATGAATGCAGATATGGAGAATTTTTGAATTTCTATTTTTATTTTTCAGTCACCAACAGAACCGGATCGAAACGTAGTCGACCAAATACAACTACCAAGAGAACCAGTTCGAAACGTATTCGACCAAATATCAGAGTCACCCATGTGCATGACTCAGATCACGGCTCTAGACAAGGGTGGTCTTTACGCGATGATCGAGGCATGTTGGCGGACACTATCATCAGGACGGACGCTAGATCCGATCAAGATCAACAAGCTCGTTAACATGATTAAAGAGGAAAATCCGTCAATTGCTCGATCGGAATTAATTCACGTCGGGAATTCGATCAAATTTTTCAGCATTTGTCAGCGCTGCAAAGCCTAAGAGGCAATTCAAAATATAGAAAACACAATAGTATACTTCTACTTTTGTGTGAATGCTATTTTGATAGAATTTGATTTTATCCAATTTTTCTTTCAATCGAATAATGTCACATTAGCTTCTTAGATTTTTGATTCTTGCACCATTCTCACTCAAGTAGAAAGTTCACATCGAAATCATCTCATTTTGCCTTGAAAATAAAAAATCTAAGCAGATATTGATTAGTTTCTTTTCGAACTACCAAAGATCTTATTGTACAAAAGTCTATTAAAACACTCAAGAAGTAACCAACATTGCCTTCCAGTGCTTTAACAATATTCGACAGAAAACCGATGCATATGATCAGATGGCTATTGATCAATGCCTAATAATGGCAGACATAGTTATTTATTCGAATGATATTTGCAACGTCACTGTCAAAATGAGAGTTCTTCATTTCGTAATACAAAAGTGAACTTCACGTAACATTTGTCTTTCATGCTCAATAAACATGTATTGGAAATTTGTATGAGGATATTGAAACGGAAGATGAATATGAAGATGGTCCGTTATATAATTTAAATGGAACATTTATTGAATCAATAATATGATCGAAGCTTGCACTAGAGAAAACATTTAGTCATATAGAGAAAAAGAGATGTCTTCAAGTGTTTGCTTGCAGAGCTGAGCAACTACAGATACTTTTGAGTACGAGTACGAATGCATAAGACAATGATCTATTGACTTACTCGAATTTCCCCAATAAGACATTAGTCAACCAGATATTCGCCAATGGCAAAAATCCACAGTGTTAGGTTCCTTTTTTCTTTATTTTTCAAAAATCAACAACAACCTAATCCTTCTTTAACAAAAAAAACAACAACATATATTACAGAAAAAAAAAAGATGAATATAGAATGAGGAGGAGGATCGATCATCTATATATATTGGCAAAATCATTTATTAGCGACGTGACTTCGGAAAATTAAAATATACGTATTTCGAGATAATGAGCTTTCTTAAATCTGATTTTTATGTGTTGCATGCACATTAAGTTACTCTAGATATCCTTAAAAAAATCAGCCCTGTGAAGCTTTGTTCAGAGGAGTTCTTGATAAAAAACTACCGTTAGCGACGTGACACAAGAAAGAACATCGATTGTCACGTCGTGTATTTGAGTTTTTAAAAACTCCGAATTCATGCACAACTTTAGAAAACTATATAAGGCATTCCGTACACAACTCCTAAGGCTATAAAGTCTATATGCAAAATTTTTCGGAGCGTGTCTAGATTTTTCAAAAAAAAACAATTTATGTGGCGTTAGGGACGTGACGGTTTCGTTAGCGACGTGACACAGTACAACTACACAATCGAGATGATGCTCTTGTAACCAATTGAAAAGTTCAAAATCGACTTTAAACGTTACAAATTCTTACCCAGACTCCCTAGATGATGATAAGACACAAGTTTTCACTTCTTCACTTTTTAGAGTCTCTAGAAAACCGATTTTTCGGAAGAAACTTTTTGGAGTCCAATCTTGCTGAAAATTTTACCATAGTGCAGATTTTGCCCTAGACTCTATCCTGAAGTTTTCAAATTTTTTTCTCATATGGCTAGCGAGATATTCATTAATTACTTTTTAATTAATTAATTAATTTAACTTAAGAACCATGTGAAAGACTACACATTCTCACATAAGCCTATGCCAAAAGAATTTATCCAAAAAAATCACTCTTATAAAGAATCAACTTCAAATGAAAGGTGCAAATGTCCTATTCTACCTGATTTTGACGATAGATACATATAAATGTATATATATAGATGTCGGATCCTATCACCCAACCGCCCCCCCCCCCCCCCCCCCCCCCCCCCCCCACACACACACACACTTAGAAATAATAGCAGCACGAGGAACAACAGAGCTAGTAAAAAACTGAAGAAAAAAAAAAAATGAACGGCAAAATAATATCAGACAAACATATCAACCGGCAATAATTGTTCATATAAACGTTTCTGACCATCAGATTTGACAACAACATAAAGTGTTGAGCGGACAACATTAATCTTGGTATATTTGATGTGATTTTGTCGTAATAACTTTTTGATGCCTGTGATTTTCATATTTGCTGGACTTACTATTTTGTAGTTGTAACGATTGGCCCTATGACTAGGTATTTTGATTTCATCGTTTCTTGGCAAAGGTTGATCGTTTCTGAGCACGGTATGGAGTTGTTGAAGCAAGTGCAGGTAATGCAAGGGGGAAACAACTGACTTTTATGACTTTTTTGAATTCAGAGTCATAAGAATCATTTAGATCATTTAGATCGCGAAACTCATCAAAGAGTCAGAATATTTAAAAGAATATATTGATCAGTACTCATTTCAAATCTATTTGAATATCAACACGCCCTGTTACGTTTTGACGATAGTAACAAAAAACAATAATCTCACATAAGCACATATAGAACATCACCAAGTTTTGATGATGTAAAACGAAAAGATTTAAAATACTCGAAGATAATTTATAAAGATTTTTTAGCATGTGATAAACTATAGAAAGAACAAATCTGAAAACCAGATAACTGTTACATATTATTTGCTCGCATCAAGACAGATAGCAGCAAATCACGCACTTCTTTTTTTTGTAATCCCTGTGAATATGATTGTCAGAAATAGGTTAATTCATAGTCTACTATGACGTAAACAAGAAAAAAAATGTACGACGTGGACGGAAGAAAATTACAAGAACATCATGTCTACTGATTCCTTTTTTCTGTCAATCTTTTTTTCCCATGTGATTTCAACGATCACCACTAGTCTAAAATGTTCATAATTTCGTTCATTCACATTGAAATCATCTCTTCAATTATGTCTCGTTCACAAAAAATATTTGTGGATACCTCAATACTTCCTTCTGACATATTCAATTATCATGACGATGAATATTACTTGATTGTAAATCAATTGACCGGCTCAGACGAAGTCGAATTACTTAGAATACAAAGTATTCGTTCTGTTAATTCTTTTTTGCGAATTAACAATGTTTGTCGATATTCTTACCATCGACTCGGAAGAAATTAATAGTATTAAAAAACAAATTTGCTTTATTTTGAACAAAAATACCTATTTGATTAAGCCGGGCATCCAAGGATCAATTGGTTATTTACGTGATCTTTTTCTTAAAAAACAATTGGAAATATCAAAACTTACAAACAAAATGTATTCAAATATTGACAATACATCTTCGAAAATTATCTCAAGTAATGGTACTACCTCCCACGAACCAATAACAACTGTAACATCAATCAATGTGGTTGATTATCATTCACTTATTGTCAATGGAATTAATGAATGGTGTTTAAAGAATGGACGTGATCTAAATCTATTTGACTTGAAACTCATCGAAGGCATCGACTATTTGCTGACAATTCCTTCATACAACAACGATTCTGCTCTTATTCGTTGCGGCTGTCGAGCATCAGCTAGACTGCCAAGACAAGGAAACAACTTTCAATTATCCAACTATTATCGACATTTAAAAACAGGAAAATGCTCTATGCTTAAATCGAAATTTCAACCAATTCCTGTTCATGATAATGATGCACATGATATTATTGATACTATCGAGCAATCATCGTCAGAACAAACAATAATTATGGAAAATACTCAGATATTATCTTTTGATTCTAATTCTTCAATTCGTTCTAAACGAGCAACATCTTCATCAAATCATGCTCATCGAAAGAAAAAACGTCAAAGAAAATTCATGTAAATTTACACAAATCTATTAATATGAACATATTGAACTTATTTTCGTTTTTTATATTTAATTTGAAGATATCCATCTCTTACGTTCATAGTTTTTTGTTTCTTCATGATTACAAATTTTGTTTTTGGTTTTTTATCCTTTTTTCGATAGAACATCATATGTTTGTGAGTCGATAGATTTTATTTTTATTTTATTTCGATGAACATGATGTAGATACAGAAATTATTGAGGTGAAATATATTGAAAAAGGTCACATTACTTCATTACTAAGAACAATATATCACAAGGGAGAGAGCGATAAAGTAGTTGTACTATCGAACATGTTGGACAATTTCATGATTGATCTGTTAATTTTTCACTTTAACTATCAAGCAGAGAATAATTTTTTTCTTTTTTATCGCTTTGTTTATTACGACAAATTCGCCAAGCGGCGCTGACCGTCGTGTAAACAGAGAATAATGAACAAATACAATATATAAATAAATAGTTCGTTTGGACATTTTTTTTTTCATTACTCTATTCAAAATTTCTTTCTCTCTTGTTCAATATTGACTCTTAAATACATAGATAATTTAAACTAACCATTCGTTTCAATTCCGTCTGGTAGTATACATACATTCGGGCCTCTGACAACAATGTCAACACCTATTGATTTACCACATGATGTTCTTTCATATCATGATGACATTTTTTATGATCTCGTCCGAGATAAATGTGGCGGAATTGTCGAAGAAATCTTCAAGTTCCAAAAGATAAGATCTGCACAAACGTTATTGCGGATAACAGATGTTTTTGATTTTATGAATTTTGATTCTGATGATTTAAATGTACTTAAACAGAAAGTTGGTTTTCGTCTCAACAATGGTCAATATCAAGTTAAGCCTGGAATTCTTATTGACGTTGATTCATTTCTGCAATCCTTAAGAATTGCCAATGATAATTTGTTGAAAGCAGTACCAATCGATCACAGTAGTGATAATTTTACGATATCTCAAGATTTTCTTCGTAAACATCCAATTATCATGTCACTTATCCAATATTATTCAATAGAACAACTCAATTCTGATGATACTGATATGTCTTTTTTGAACTCATTGATAGAAAACATTACACAAAATCTATCTCGCCCCAAATACTCATATAGATACAATGAGCACGTAAAAAGATTTGCTGTTAGTTTGTATATTCTTGCTGGTCGTAATGCTTATGAATTTGTTCGAATAAATATTCCTGGTGCTTTTCCTTCTGCTTCTACGATTCAGTCTTTTTTAGATGAAGAAGAGAGACATATCAAAGAAAGAGAGTTTCGTTTTGACATTGTAAGACGCCATCTAAGTTTGACTAATACAAATATTGCTTTTTGCTCTGAAGATTGTACTGCAATAATTCCTAAAGTAACATACGATATCAATTCAAATAGTTTTGTTGGTTTTTCATTGCCTCTTGATGAGGGACGTCCTATTACTGATCACTACCGAACAGAATCTTTCGCTCAATTAGAAAGCTGGTTTTCTAGTGTTGATAAATCGACTCTTTTAAATATACATATGATTCAACCTATTATGAGCACAGAACAAACTTCCAGTCCGATAATTCTTTCGGCATACGGAACTAATAGCAAATATACATCAATAGATATTATATGTCGATGGATATGGATATTTGATGAATGTCTAGCAAAAGGTATTCGGATAATCGGTTTTTCGACCGATGGCGATCCAAAATATTTAAAAGCTATGAAACTTGTCTTAGGTTTTTTTGCTTCATTACCTAACATGAAAATCAGCGATAGATCTCATGCGTTTGAAGTATCTCTACCGGTCGATTGGAACTGGTTTTTCCTTCGGCGACGGCAACTAATTCTTTGTTTTCAGGATCCCACTCATGTATGTACTAAATTGAGAAATCGTTTACTTTCAACTACAGCTGAAATGATCATCGGTAATCAACGTATTTTGCTAGATATTTTATCAGAAAGGATAGCTAGTAGGAACAAGCTAAAACATGGCTTAGTGAAATCAGATATCTATCCCCATGACAAACAAAATTTCGCATCTTGCGAAAAAATATCCAGTAACAGTGTAATATCGACATTAGAAGAAATATCTAATTCATTAGCTACTCGTTTGTATTTGAGACTCATTCGTTCTGTAATAATAGCATACATTGACAGAGCAACAAGTATAAATGATCGAGTTTATCATGCCTGGTTCACTGTTTTTCTATGTCGTATCTGGTGGGCATGGCTTCTAACGAAGACAGGACATGATTCTGATGAAATGTTGTCATGGTCATCAAATGAGAATTCTTCTCAATCTATAGGAAAATCAATACGAAAATTTTTTATCACAAATACGTCGTTTCAATCAATCGAAATCAATGCACATCAATTAACATATCTCATTCTTCTAGTAATAGAAGGGAGTTTACCCATAGAATCTCTTCAAATCTTTCTATTTAATTCTCAAACATGTGAAAGCACATTTCGTTCTGCTAGAGCCATGTCAGGTGCTTTCTCATCTATTGTTAACTTTTCCGTAATTCAGTTTTTACGTCGTGCTCAGAAACTATCGATATTGAATCGTATTAAAAGTGAAAGTGAGATCAATATTTCTACAGTTAAGACACCACCTATGCGTTTTCCTAAACATCATAAACAAACTAGTAGAGCAGTCACATCTTCAACTTCATCAATGACATCACCATTGACAAAAGCTGAAATCGAACGAATAGTTTCTTCGGCTTTTGATGATGCTTTTAAATTACTAGGTAAACTTGATGTACATAATTCCTTGAAGAAAAAAAAGATTCATACGTTTTGGAATCTGAATAATTTTGTTTTAAATAAAATGAATGCGATATCGAAAATAGTTGATTGGTCTAGTCTCACAGATGTGTCATCCGATTCTGAATCTGACGATGAATTAACTTCTGACAACTCAATGGACCTAGAACACGTGGGAAGAGATAGTGACGATGAGTCAGATATTTATAGTGTTGATGATATAAATGAAAATTCTTTGCATGGCGTGCGAATAGTGGACGTAGAATACTCAAGTAATAATTGGATTCAAAATAAGATACATGGTGAGAAACAATAATGATTTTCAATCTTTCAGATCATTTA